ATAAATCCCGTTTAATCGATGCCCACAAAGTTAGGATTAAATATCTATTGAATTTTTTGATATATTCAATTCAAAACTAGATTTCAAACATCATTCCACGACCTAATTTAAGAGATGAAATTATTACCAATATTATTGAGCCCTTTCGTGAATATTCCATGATTTTAAGAACTTTTACAATCAATGCAACAATATCTGGAGTTGGGTTATCGTTGGCAGCCGATTAATTAGGTAATCCCTAATAATTAATAATATTAATTTTTACTGTTTTATATTCTAAAAAGGTATCATCTTCAAAGTCGAAGAACATATGGAATGATTTTATACTTTATACATAGTATTTTTATATATCCATTATTTTATCGAAATTATAATAAAATAGAATATAATTGTGATGATTTAATAATAAGTTAACGATTAAATTAAAACCCATCATCCAGATAAAAATATTATGTTTGCAAAAATAATTAAAATAACACATTTACTTTTAGTAAAAACTTGAAAGAAAATGTTGAGAAAAATATTATTTTTATAAACTTCCGGTAATTTAACTTAAATTAAAACTTCTAATAATTCCTTTTTATATTTGCGGCAATTTTAATTTTAGACTCCTAATAATTTTTTACAAAATTTATTTCTGTTTTTTTTAAATGTCAAATTTTATTATCACTAGTATTTTGAAATCTATCTCCAGTCTCAGGTTTGTTAATATAATATTCGATTATTTGCTAACTATATACATAATTTTAGATACACCTAATGAAACTAACCAAATTTTTATCCTATTCGTTTAAGGAAAAAAAATGATAATTGGAGAGATGAAAAAATGGAAATGGCTTAAATATGGCGCAAACCAATTGATGATCAGCCCAATTCAACGGCAATGTTTCTAGCCGAAAAATTTCTTTGAATATTAAGGCGATCCTGTATCTGGTTATATAATAAAACAACGAAGTAGGAAGAAGAAATACACAACTTCAATCGAATATAGATGAATCGTTTAGTTATAATAACGGGTAATTAAAAACATAATAGAACATTTAACACCATATATAATGTTGAGCCAGTCGACTATATCAAGATGCATCAAATCAATGGGATGGAACCGGAAAAGAAACCGATAGAAGGAATTTCCCAGATGTCATCAATATTCATAAAGAATATTACCTAAAAATGATGAACGAGCCATTTAGAAATATATTCTATTTAGATGAAACATTCAATTTCCACGTCATTTCCCACTATGGATGGGCACCTCTGGGTAAGACATCCGTCAAACTCCCTCCTTCAAAGGAGAAAAGCGTATCGGTTTTGTCTACCATAGGAATTAATGGTCTCAATAATATACCTGAATGAATTATCATCCATTTTGCCGTTGGATAATGCGCCTATTCATCGTACCCATATAATAACTCATAATTATCAAAATATAGCATATCTTCCACCTTATTCCCCGCTACTAAACTCCATTGAAAAATTTTGTGGCGATTTTAAGTCAATATTGATCTATATATTCAAAACCAAAAAACAGAATCCATATAATCGAGAGGCAATTACTAGCCTTTTGTTAAATTTCACTAATTATGATTTCACAGCTTTCTACTCATTACGATACGATATATCGAAGAAGGAATCCGATCTATACCTTTGAACGACTACTTTAATAGATAATTACACTAGATTATTTTATAATATATATATTTTTTTTCGTTATATTATGTGCAATACAAATAGAAAAATAAATATATTATGATCTTTAATATAAATAAAATAACTATACATTCATAACAGATTTCATAAGTCATATTCGAAAATATAAGAAAGGTAAATTTAATAGAAAATAAAGTAAGTAATGAAAAAATTATCATAAATTGACCTTAAGTTTTACCCAAAAAGAAATTGTGTATTTTTTAACTCATTTAAAAAGTCTTCCAGTTTATAGATAATAATTAATTTTAGAAAAAAAACCTCGGTCATAAAAGCAAATTTTAAAGAAAAAGAGGAAGATTATTTAAATTTTTTTATAAATTGTGAATGTGTTATTTTAAATATTTTTGCAAACAAAATATTTTATCTGGATGGGTTTTACTTTTATCGTTAACATTAAATCATCAGTCATCACAACATATGTTAGTTAGCGTTAGGGGTATGCATTGGGCGGGGTTTCGGCCCGCCCGCCCCGGGTAAAAAATTTTCAAGAATGGGCAGGCGGGCGGGTTAAAAAAAATTTGAAACTATGGGCGGGCTGGGCGGGTTAAGAAATTTAAACAATGGGCGGGCGGGTTAAGGAAATTTAAAATTTTTGTTCACAAACAAACTAAAAAATATAATTGTTTAAATGATCTATAACAATATTTATTTTTTTATTGTACCAATCGTTTTTTTTAAGTGAAGAACATTTACCTAACTATATTATGTAATAAACACAACAATAAAACTTTTTTCTAGAATAAATTAAACATTTTTGTCTATTAAAAATTTCCTTTTATGGGAATGTAATAAAACTTTTCTAGTAGTTCTTCCGAACGCGGATTTAGCTGGAAGATTTTTAGAACAAAGAAGAACGTGTTTGAATCCAGAAAATGTCGATTCATTATTATTTTTGCATTATAATTACATATAATATTAATTTTACATTTATATTTTTTTCATAAATATTCAATTTGATCAAATAAATTGTCCAAAATTTACATTGATTATTTTTTTACTTATATTAATTTCCTAAATTATGAACTTCTTGTAGAGGTGTAATGCAGAAATATTTTTATTAGATGCTTAAAAAAATGAAAGAATGATCATAATTAAATTTTATAAGCAGGCTTGGGTTAAAATTTTTTATAAATAATAGGCGTGCGGGTAAAAAATTTTGAACTAATGGGCGGGCAGGAGACAAATGGGCGGGTCGGGCGGTATATATTTTTTTGAAAACTATGGGCGGGCTGGGCGGGCGGGTTAAATTTTTTTTAAAACATTGGATGGCGCCCAATGCATACCTCTAGTTAGCGTTAATGTGTTTTTTCCGACAATGTACCATTTTTTCAACTTCAAATCATTTTGAACGCGTTTTTAAAAATAAATGATTTTACCGGAAATGTATTCCATCATGTTTGGAATACCTACTCTATAAATTTCAGACAATTTTTCCATGAAATTTTAAACCTAATTTAATTTTCCATATATTTTTATATAAATTATAAATGACTAAAAGGTTAACAGCAAAGTTGTCTACAATGCACAAGAAGGGATGCGAATCTGGCAAAATTTTTGACTGGGTTCGGTTTAAGGTTAAAAAAATAGGTGGATTCGGTTTCAGCTCGGGTTTAAGAATTTTTGGATTGATAAAAAAAAATTATATATTTAAATCATAATTAAGAACTAGATATAAATTTGGTATAAAAAATAAATGTTTTATTTATAGGCAAAATATTGTTAAAAATACAAAAGTTTACAAAAACTGCCCTACACCTTTGTTTAACAATTTTTAAGTTGGATTTTGAGAATTCTTTAAATTAACAATATCCAATATAGTAATTTTTTACTTTGACTTGTTCACTTTCATTTTCCTCTTATTAGTAATCTCTGAGAACAATTTAAAATTAAAAATATATAGCGTAAATGAATTTAATTGTTTAAAATTTATTATTAACGCTCTAAGACCAGCCTATATAATCAAGCTCAAATAATAACACTGATAATATCTAATAAAGAAAATGATGATTATTTTTCTTTTGGTGAAACAAATGTTGCTGAGTTTAATAATACAAATAACATTGAACTGGAGGTTTTAAATTATATTAAAGAAAATACATTATAAAAGCTTAATTATTATCCTTTCACTAAATTTTTTATAAATATAATACTGCAATACCTTTATCAACTCCAATTGAAAGGTAATTAAGTTTTGGCACAATGTTAAGTAGGCCAAAACGGCAAAGGTCTAATGATTAATTATTTGAAAAATTTGATTATCTTATAAAATAATGAATGTATTTTAAATACTCTTTTGCAAATTAATATTTCAACTCCCATTAAAAATACTAGTCTCCCTTCCCTATCTATGCTATGAATGGCTATTACTAATATTAAAATGCTTAATTATTATAATTAACTCATCATTAAATATTCATTCTTATTATATGCGTATGTTATGTTCTTCATACATAAATAATAAAAACTGTTCTAAATTAATAGATAATGATAATTTAAAAGTATCTTGTATTTAAGATACTTAGGCAAAAGATACTAGTATCTGTATCTAAGATTCGTTTTTTTAAAAGAATCTGTATCCAGATTCTTTTTTCGCGCAAGTAAGTTTAACTTTGAGTTTCCTATTCCGTCATAAAAATGATTCATTTTAGTAGGAGACATGAAAATCTTTATAGCAAAAGGATGAGCGAGAGCGGATCAAATGACGGTCATTAAATATAATCTTGTCAGTGTTTTGATGATTTAATGAAACATATTGACGATTAAATTAAAAAACTCATCCATATAAAATTATTTTCTTTGCAAAAATAATTAAAATAACAAAAGGAGTAATAAAAAGAATTTTCAATAATGCTTTGTCTATATTTTAATTATTTTTGCAAAGAAAATAATTTTATATGGATGGGTTTTAATTTAATCGTCAATCACTGTATTAGCACCTTGTCAAGATATTTGGTAATATATAGGCTATGCCAATGTCATCAAAAGTAACCTAGACAAACGATTTATTTATTAAAAGTACGCACATATAAGTAAGCTGTAATCCATGTCATTAGATGTAGTATGCCACTCACATTTCAACTAAAGGTCTTTCAATGGCTATGCACACTTTTTATGCAATTTAATAAAAGAATCGTCAGTTTAAGTTAGTTTTAATATCATTGGGCTGTGCTAACGAATTCTTATTAAGGTCACAATCCAAAAAGGGTGTTAAATTTAACAATATTTTATTTCAATAATTTTTTTAATAATCAAATAATATAACATTGATAATAAAAAGTTAACTTTTGCGTAAAGCATAGGGGGAGGGAGAAAAGGGAGAAATTAAAGAATCTTTTTTCAAAAAATATTTTGATCTCATTTTTTGCCAAATCCAAATATTTGGAAAAAACGGTCGATTCTATCATTTATAAATATATAAAATTATGAGAGAGAGGGAAGGTAAAAATGATTCAATAAATAAGTATTTTTTTCTCCTTCCTCTTCCCGTTATGCGAAAATACGTTAAAACCCAAGTTCGGTCTTACTTGGGTTTTAATTTAATTTAAATATGTATAATTATTAAATTTAATATAAAAAACAAATTAAAAAAATGGGAAAACAATTAAATATTTGTACAAATCAACATGTTTTTGTGTGAGGGATTGGAGGAGATTTTGAGGATTGGGGGAAACGGATAAAAGAATTCATCGAGGAGAAACATTTTAAAAATCTTGTTTTTAAATATGTATAATAATTATATTAATAATATATATTAAAAACAAAATATATTATAATATATTATATATTTATAACGTTCCATCATTAAAAAAGGTTGTTTTATTTCAAAGCATTTTATTTGTTTTATATTATTATTAAAAACAGTCAATGTGGGTGGGGTAAAATAAGAAACATTTTGCTTGGGGAGAATAAAAAAATACAAATTCTTGAAAATCTTATTTTCTTTTATTTACCATAATATGTGTACGAGTAGTTTGGGTTAAATATTTTTTATTTAATAATCTCTTATCAAAATCAATAATATTTTATATAAAATTTAATAAATTTTTTAAGTTTTTGTTTCAAGTTGTAAATTTGTATTTTAATTTAACAGTAATAAAAAAGAAAACAAAGAAATATTAAATATTATTTTATATCTTATAATATATTATATTTTTTGGGAGAGGGAAGAGGCAATAAATGTATAATTTTTTGTTTAAATAGGCAACTAATCAAACTATTATCACGTTTGGGGTTAAAATATTGGGCAGGGGGATTAAAACAATCAAAACAATATAAATATCCCAATATGAATAAATAAAAAAGGGGGAAAGTATTATGGGCATTTTCGGTTATAAAAATATAATTTTATCAATAAAATTTGTAACAATTATTTATCTACGAAATGTGTAAGTGGATCACTTCCGGTAGTATTCGAATTGTTATTGCTCAGACTGCCTGGTGGCTTTATGCTTTTGTCCCCTTGTATGTCAAGACCATAGCCCATTAGATTGTGGGTGTGAGGCGAGGAGTGGTGATGATAGGAAGGTTGTTGAAGGGAGATTGAAGGGTATGAGGCAACTCTAGGAGAGGGAGTGGCTTTATTCCGAGCTGTCCCGTGCAAAAGTCCACTGTGAGGAGAATGTTGTTGAGCGAGAGCGGAACCAGGAGGCCCGGATATGTAAGGGGGTGGCTGCGATGTGGGGTTTCTTTGTTGCATGACGACTTGCTGCTGTTGAGGCGATGGGTGGTTGGCTGCCAAGCCAAATTTGTTGGAAAGAGGGGCATTGACCGAATTGTGGGGTGAGTGTACAAGATTCATGTTGTTATTGTGGTCGCCTGATAGACTGTTCTTATTCCCACCACTAACATTATGAATGAGCATCGAGGGCGAATTGAATCTTTGAAAAGTTGACAAGTGGGGAGAAGAGTTATTATTGTTATTAGGATTTTGTTGAGTGCTCCGGGAACTGAATTGTTGCTGCAGCATCGAGTTCAAACCGTTCATGTTATTGGCATTGAAATTGGGGTTTAGGCTAAAGTTTCCTAATTTGATGGGGTTATTGTTGATGAGATTAGGGCCAGAGCTTTGTTGAAGATGATTGGTATTATTGGAGTGTTGAAATTGCATAGCCTGGAGCAGAGGGTGATTTTGTGACGCTATATTTTGCTGCAAGTGCTGAGGATGTGGCTGCAGCAAGGATGAGTGGTTTTCGTCACCGTTTGATGAGGTCTGGAGGTAATTGAAGTGGGAGGAGAGTGGTGTATTTAGCATTCTACCTCTTCCGGGATTCATGGTATTAAGAGGATTATTGGATTGAAGGAGTGGTGGCCCAGAGGGATGGGCACCCCTTAAAATGAAGGGTTGTTGGTTGGGATTCGAATTAAGGCGAACGTTTGTGTTGTCAATGTTAGATATTGGTAAATTAGAATCAGCTGGAGAGCCACCTTCAAAGTTGGATGAGCCAGTGGCGATCATTCCATTGTTGTTCCACTCCATCTTTGCATTGACGGGATGGAGGAAGGTGGACGATGCATTGGGCGGGTGGGCATCCAACTGCACACCTGAGATGGAGGCTTGCTGCTGCTGTTGGTGCTGAAGGGCAGCAGCTATCTGCTGCTGCTGCTCTTGTTGCTGTGTTTTGGATTTTAGGAAGGCAGCCATGATTTGGGGATTGCTCTTGAGTATGGTTAAGACCTGTTGTTGCTGCTGAGGCGAGGGTGACGCCTTAAGTGTGTTGATAAGGTGGTGTATTGCGCTCAGCTTTTGAGAATTTGGATTGTTAGAGTTAGCAGCAGCCGCAGCTGCCAGCACATGACTAAAGTTCTGTCTAGATAAACTCTGTTGCTGAGGTGGCAATGGCACATTATTGCTGCCAGCATTGTTATGCAGCATTTGGGGTGAGTTCTGATTGTTAGGGTTAAAGGGGTCAGATGCTACAGCATTGGCTGAGGAAAGAAAAGATTGAAGATCGCCTACCGACAAGTCATAGTTTGGAGGAGGGTTAGCATTATTGTTGTTAATATTAGTTATTAGCTGATGTGGGGGTAATGGTAATTTGTGACGCGACATAATATTTGCAGTTTGTTGCTTAAGTTGATGTTGGGGTTGTATCAAGACACTATCCATGGATGGGTCGATTGAATCACCTTGAGCTCCATAGTTGGACTCCCATAAGGGCTTGGAATGCAAATTTACGGGATTTTTGGCGGTGACACTGTACCCAATGGAAATGTTGGATGTTGCGCCTTGAGAGTGATGAGTTGCAACAAAAGAGCCGTCATTGCCCATTTGATTGTTAAAGATTGTGGGAACCTGTATGGTGTTATTGCTGCTGAGAAAGGATGTATTATGGTTGCCATATAACAACCCCATCTGATTTGGAATGCCGTTATTGGGGGCGTTTAAGTTGGATTCGAATTTGTTACCTTTTCCAATTCCCATCATCAATTGATGACCGCCTGGTGGGTTGTTAAAAGGTGCCCCAAGTACCACATTGCGCTGAGCCGCGTTTTGTTGTTGTTGTTGAATAGCCATTTGCTGAATCTTCTGGGCAGCTTGGAGGGCACCCATGGGAGGTGGAGCCAGTGGAGCCGTTGCAGAATGTAACTGATGTTGTTGATTGAAAACGATTGGGATTGATGGCCCACCAGAGCCTAAGTAATTACCTTTACCACCAGTTGATCCCTGGGGGAGTCGACCTGGGGTAATGGGCACACTACCAGACACTGACGAGATGGATTGGGCGGCCTGGGCAGCGTTCATGGCTGCCATGCGACGCAAGGCATGTTGCTCTTGGGCCAAACGTTGCTGTTTCTTTTGCAAGGCCAACTTGTGCTTTATGTTGTTGCAGAAGGGGACCGGACACTTAGGCTCTGGGCAGTTCTTTGCATGGAAGCAGCATAGTGTGATGAACTGCTTGCACACAGGACATCCTGAGTTAACTTTCTTCTTGCAACCTTTTGTGTGTGCTACAACACGCTTCATCTTCTGACATGAAGAAAGGCGGCAGTTGGCATCCTTACACTGTGAAGCGTGAACCAAGTTCTGGATACAGCGCTGAATGGATTGTTGACGGGCCTCAGCTAAGTCCGCCTCCCGTTTGACCGAATCTGAGCTTCCATTTCCTAGCAATAGGGAGCATGATGAAGAGGATGATCCGCTCGAACCTATGCCTCCATCGTCTAGATCGAAACCAAGTTTATCCATTTTATGGGTGTGGCCCTGATGTTGGTAGCATGTGACACACAGGTCGAAATCCTGTGTAAAAAAATAAGGTTCAAATTTCTATTTAAAAAATGAATATAATAAAAATATGATTATCCAATCACAAAAACTTTTAATAGTGTTTCAAATGTTTGATAACAAGGATTTACTAACCTTTTACTTAAAAATTAAAATTAATAATCATATTATATGTATTGACATTTATACTTACATCACATACAGTGCAATGGTATCGCGTTTCAACCTGGTTGCGGCAATGGTTGCATGTGTAAACAAAGCGGTCTTGTCCCTGGTTGTGTAGCTCATACAGCATCACTAAGGTCGAGTAGAAAGCCCGACGACGCGATGAAAACTCCAAATGTTTCTCGCGGGCCAAGGAAAGAAAGGCATCGCGTCCATCCATCAGATCGCAGTTGGTATAAGGGTCAGGATCCACGATGGGCCCAAGGTGGTTCGCATCACCAGGCAAATGGAGCCTCACCACAAAAAATACCTGTTTAAAATTACAGAAAGCAATTGAAAAGTAAGAAATTGAGAATAAGAATTATAACAAGCGTTCATAAATCATGTAAAAAACTTCTTTGTGCTTCTCCATGGTGGCGTAAATTTTTGCGGAGAGATCATTCGAAACCTGGGGGAAAATGGCACGCTTATTGCTCTTTCGGGAGTTCCCCTTGTTCTTTAACGTTGATTTCTTATTCTTGTTCTTTTTACCCTTCTTGCCGAGTTTTCCCTGCAAAGATGAGAAACCCAAATACTGTTTTATGAGTTAATTATATCTTATGAACCAGCATATAAAAGAGACATAAATTTTATTTTTTCAAATATCTACCACATGAATATGAGAACTTAATCTGTAAACTATTTTTTATAATGACTATTTAATAAACAAGGTCTTGTGATAAATCATCAATAATCCTTTTTATTTTACAAATTAATATTCCCTCTTTCCTTAAATTTATATATTTTCGAAAGAATTCCAACCTTTGGAAGTTCCTATTAAATTACATGAGATTTTTTTATTCGAGTCCATCCACTCTCCTCTATTTACCCCTTTTTTTAAAACATAATCTGATATATATTGTTATAATTTGTATAGGGTAAAAATCTATAAAAGGCAGATTATATTAATTGCTTAATAAATGAGTTAAAGATATTAGTCATGATTACGTCTTCACTATCAAGGTCGTCCTCATTAACGGAAGATTCCGCAAGAGCGGCGGCTGCTGCTGCAGCAGCTGCTTCGATCTGTTTTCGTTTGTTTTCCTCTTCTTGTTCTATCTCCTTAATGGTCTCCTCAAGTGCGTTTGGCCAAAAATCGCCTTCGAAATAGGGTAGATCTGTAGGGCTTTGCAAATTATCTTCCATAGCTTGTTTAAGTATGTCCTATATAAGAGTTAGATTATAATTTCAGATTTAATTTGGAAATATAAAAAGGATTTTCTAGTAATAATAAAGGTTAGTTTTATTTAATTGTAGGCATCCTAAAATATCGAATGCTGTATAATGTATAATGATCCCACTTTGTAGTCCACAACAACACGGTCCAATATGCCTTTGTCGAGCATTTTCTTGTACCATTCTTGAAGTCGTTTGGGTTTGGGTATTTTTTGGTCAGGAGGATGGCAATGGAATATGTAATCGTCGCCTTCACTGGGAGGACAAGCCCAGATGTGTGCCATTGTATAACTATAATCAGCAATTTTTATTAGAATCATTATTTTTAATTATAAAATGTTAAGGGTAATTCCAAGTCAAATCAATCACTTTTCGGCCGACCTCTTTCGATTTCGATAAGAAATCATCGGTTGGTTATATATGTTCAATTTAGATTATAAACAAAATTTTAGCGCATTAGCAACTATATTGATAATCGGGGTTAAAGGTTAAAAAACGTCTTTTTTTGCTTTTTACTGATGTTAAATAATTCGTTTTTAATTTAAAACTAAATATGATCAAATATTGAATCTAATACCAATAGCTAAGTTAATAATTGATAATTAAGGCGAAAACATCAAAATTAATTTTTTTTAAAATATGAGTCATCTTATGGTCAGTTGAAAACTTGAAATTGATATTTCGAAATGTATATGATCTCCGATTTTTAATTTTTTTAAGGAATATTATCCGTTTACTATTTTTTTAATAATTTCTTTAACAATTAACATATTGGATATTTATTTTAAAAAATATTGCGATTTTTATACTTTAAAAAAAAATAGAGAGCGCTATATATAATGTTTTAATATGTTAAAATTCATTTTTTTTTATTGATAAAATATTTTAATGTATATATATATCATACTAAATCGATTATAATGTGCATTATATATATTTATTTGTAATTCAGATCATGAAATTTTTAAAATCTTCACAAATTTGCCTAATTAAGATGGTTTATAAATTAATTAAATCTTACTTCATCTAAAGGAATACAAAGCCTGGCTAGCTTGTGAGATTTCTTCAGGAGATAATATATATGTTCGACTATGGGAGTAGAAGGATTGACCAGCAAGAGAATATGAGATTTAGGCAACACTAAACTATCATCTTTCAGATGAAATTTAAATGAGGCTGAAGGTCCACAAGGGTGTAAAAATCGGATTTTTACATCTTCATTTGTATCATTTTTATCTATTATATATCATAACCACCATTTATCATCATATACACATGTTACATATCCATTAATATAATTTTCTCATTTAAAAACGAAACTTGTTTTATATTAAATTTTTTGGAATTAGAATATATTTTGGTTTTAAGTCTATTTTGATCAATGGGAATAACCCCGTGAATTTTTTGGGTCATATGTATAAGCAGTGCATTAAATCCTTTACAAAAAGCTAATTCCCCTTCGATATATTCTTGATTGGTTACATATTCAAATTGAATTCCATTAATATTTTCTTTAGCATAATTATATAATTCTAATGGGGTTAGGATTTGATTTTTATTTGGCCTTTGAAGACTAGCTGGCAACTAATCTTTTGACAAACATTTTGGCTGAGATGGATTACAAATAATTTGCGCCCAAAATAGTTATAAGAATTTATACAGTAATCTTCTTTTGCTGTAATTTCAGCTATTACATTTGTCATTAATTAATTTCACATTCTGATGAATGGCGCAGACACAAACAGTGTGTGTGCCACTTTGGTCTAAGTTCGGCAAATTTAGAGAATCCAATTGATATATTTGCATATTCTTCCTTAAACATCTTGAATATTTCTTTAAGATTATTTAATATAAGTCTTTTTTGGGCTGGTTCTTTCTCGCCTTTAACAGATACAAAATCTTTTATTCCAGGCATGAGTCGGCTTATTTCATCAGAACTATAATTTTGTTATTTTTATTGCTTAAATTTTTTCAAGATCTTCGAAATTTTATTCTATTTTAATAATATAAGACAATGACAATTTCATAACATTATTCGCCTTGATGGGTATGACTTAGTTTGAAGAGGGGGGGGGTATGGATGGAGGAAGGGTAGGCCTGGTAATTAATGTGATTTTCGATTTTTCCCTTAATTCCTGCACTCCTTTAATCCTGCTTTTTTGTTCGTGTGCTAGTCGGATTTTTTAATTATTTTTAATTTACAATGAAATATTTTAAAAAAATTTTATCCTGGGAATATCTCAGGGGAATAAGGTTTACAAAGTTATATAATCGAATTTTATGATATATTTATTATACATTAAAATATTTTTAATCAATAAAAAAATTAATTTTAACATATTAAAACTATATTATATAGCGCCATCTATTTTTTTAAGTATTTAAGTATAAAAATCGCAGTATTTTTTTAAATAAATATCCAGCCATGCTAATTGTTGAAGAAATTATTAAAAAAATAGTAAACGGATAATATTTCTTAAAAAAATTAAAAATAGGAGATCATATACATTTCGAAATATTAATTTCATATTTTCAACTGACCATAAGATGACCCATATTTTAAAAAAAATTAATTTTGATGATTTCGTCTTAATTATCAATTATTAACTTAGATATTGATATTAGATTCAATATCTGATCATATTTAGTTTTAAATTAAAAACTAATTATTTAACATGAGTAAAAAGCAAAAAAAGACGTTTTTTGGACCTTTAACCCCGATTATCTCCGCTAATATAGTTGCTAATGCGCTAAAATTTTTTTATAATCTAATGGGAACATATATAACCAGTCTACAACTTTTTATTGAAATTGAAAGGGGTCGGCCGAAAATCTTGATTTTTTTGCTCATTTGACATGAAATGACCCTTAATAAGAAATAATAAGATATGAAATAGAAAAGTATTACCTTTTATTTTTTTAAATAATACTCAATATCTTTTACGAGATGTAATAAAGAAGCAAATTTTTTTTAATATAAAAAACAAAACAAAAATTATTTTAACGAAGTTTTTTAAAACATTCAAAAAATTGATTTTCTTAGAAAAGAATAAACAGTTAATTTTTTAACAAACTCCATGTAACGAAATGAACGAGTTATAAAATGATTGTGATAATAAACTTACAACAAAATATTGGGAGATAAATTTCCAATAAGAATTGTAGTAGTAATAAATTTTTGTTATTTTTTCCCTAAATATTTTAAAATCTTAATTTTTTTATTTTTAGGTTAACCTATTATTGGTTGCTTCCATTTCCTGATAACTAATAACCTTAAAGAAACCGTGAAAATATCAGCCCAACATCTTATCAAATTTCTAAGTTTGTATCAGATAAAAAACTTTAACGATTATAATATACAAATTTTCCTGCAAATTGAATTACAACATATATTTATGAAAAATCGACTGTTTTGCAGATCGCTAATCTTCTTTGGCCTATAGGGCGTCTACAGAAGATTTAAACGAAGGCTACTATGTTTCATGTTTTAAATTTGTAGGAGATAGTGATTTTCAGATAAGAGGAATAAATAAGTCCATATTGATCAGAACGTTCTGCGGATGGTGGTATCAACTATGAAATTACTGCAAATCTTTTTAGCATTGGAATAACAAAATCAAAATGTTATTAATTGATTTACATATCCCATTCACTCCTGGCGTATCACCTATGATACTTTAATAATTTAAAGATATTTTAAAGAATAATTGTATATTAAAATAAAAACCAGTGTATCATAAAAATATATGAATTTTTCTATATATCGTATTTTATAAATAATACCTCCAAAAAGCGCGTTTTTTATAAAAATTTATTGTAATTTCGAAAAATCATATGGCAAGTCAAGATCTTCAAAAGGTAAAAAAATAAGTTTTAATAAACAATTATTTAAATTTTTTTCTTAAATAGTTAATAAATTATGCTCTGGTTATAAACTCTATTCAAAATTTATTTATTTTTAAAAAAATTTAAATCAATTTTAATTAAAGTATCCAATATGATTCTAGGTTTTTATGTATACATTTTAATATTAGCGACATAAGTAAATTTTCAGCAAGAGATTTAAATCCAATAATAAAAATAATTTTCCTTTGTCATTTTTTCGGCAAAAGGTTTGGAGACATACTACATAGTTAATTTTTATTATAAGATTGATTGATTATATTTAATTTCTAGATTCATAGATATGTCAGAGCGCAATAATGTTAAGTATATTCCAACACTTGTCATTAGATTATTTTAACAAATATTTTAGGGAACTAATTTATTAAACTGTAAGGCATAAAACTAATATTCGAATTTTTAAATACGACAAGAGAAAGGTAACTTTTAGATTTTATGATGTAGGAAAGGGAAGTTTTACTGAATCTATTCTATACCTAATTCCTGAAAAATCGATGTTGGTGATAAAATAATTTTATGAATTACGCGATAAGCCTCCACTTAAAACTTCCATATTTTTCGATAGATATTTTACTAATTAACAATAGAATGCCTTAAGAAACGTCAGGATCTGGCTTGTTAAATCATCGGCTTCTTACAGAAGAGTCTTAACTGACCTATCTTTGAGTAAGCAGTGGCACAGTGCAATTGATGTAATGTCAGACAATGATATCTACATCACTAAATGGTTTGATAATACAGTATGCATGACCTCTAATATTTATGGATCAGAACCAATTGATTTTGTTGGCAATGGTCAACAGAAAAGTTATATTATGGTCAATCGTCCATATTGTATCTTAAATAAGATAAATAGTTGGAGTTAGTGTTGTTAATTTGCTTGGTTTGTAAAATTTAAGACCCAATTTTGTGCTCAGGCCATGAACCCCCTGAAGTTGAGACCCAGGGTCAAATAAAAAAATATTTGCCAAAAATATAGAAACAGCAATTAATCTTATGGTAAAAAAAATTATCGGGACCAGGGACCACTTAGGGCTGAGAAATACCAAAAAAATAAAATTAAAATGAGTTATCCGAGCGATTATTATCAGCTATATCATCCTAGTTCAGAATTAGATTAGAACTTTCTGGCCGGATTTGTTAAATTTTATCGCTATTTTTTAAATAAGTATTGATTTTTTTTCTAATTTTAAAAATGTATGTTAGACAAATACATTTGATAAGATTTGTTTCTAAATTAAGCAATATTGAGCTTGAATGAGATATTTAGAACACTTTTGGTTCGTTTTTATTTAGGGGGGGGGGGGGTGGTTATAAACAAGGGTCTTTTTCTACTGCCTATTCTGAAGTCAAAATATATAATCTTCAATTTACACTTTTGAAAAAGTTTGTGTAATTGATATAATTGGGTAATGGCTAAACACAAGCCAACTCTGTTCAATCTTCAGGCGCTTGCTGAAGAAAATCCGTTGGCGTTTTAATTTATATTAATTTCTTCCGCAATAGTGGTAGTACTACTTTTAAATGTAGGTAGTTTAACAACTCTGATAAAATTAAAGAATTGTTAAAATTTTTACCAAAATATTTTCACCAATATCCAATCCAAATGATAGGAATAGGATTTCTTTTTTAATAATATATAATTAAAAATTAATAAATAAAAAATATATATATCTTTTACTTATCTTTTAACAATATGTATATTTATAATTTTTTATAAACAAATTTCTCCTACTCATAATTTCCGATTACAGTGAAACGACGAGTATTATTATTATTTTTATATATACAATAAAAGGGGGTAAACGAAGTAAGATTTTATTTTAATTTAATACATATTGAAATTAAATATGGACAAAAAATAAAGATTAAACATCATGCATGTTTAAATAATAAATTTATAATTTGTGATGAAAATGAAATTTTTTTTCATCTTTAAAAATTATTAATTTAAATGTAATGATATATTTAAAAAATAAAAAATAGATTTGGGCCGGGCTGTGTTTTACAGGTCTCTAATAGGAATTCAATTTCTTATACTACCCTATCCTTGCTGATAATTGAGTTTGTGCAAATAGTGATATTTTTTAGGTAAATCGAAATTGTTTTTTTTTATTTTCATAATAAAAAATTGTATTGATTAACTCCCACATATATGATAAACCTCAAATTTTTTCTATATATCATTTATGAATTAATTATTAAAAACCTAATTTCGAACTTTTGATATTTTATTAATTTTTTTGGAAAAATAAAGAGTCGTTTTGTTTAGTGTATGATTGGGATATATGTGTTATTGGTCAACGCTAAAAGAATCGAGATCCTTATCTAAAAAATAAAGGCAAATAATTGTTCTTTCTGATTAAAATTCACGGCTCAGAAAATTAGATAAGTAATCTATATTTGTGTTTTATTATATCAAACTGGTCTTTTTATACTAATCCAATTTTCTAATTTGTTTTGTTAGCTCTGATTTAGCATCCTATATTTTAAATGAGCCCTCAGGTAGAGAGATGTTTCAATCCAACAAGATTGTAAAACCGATTGTCACAACTCACTTAGATATTTTCTTTATCTTCGTCTGATAACATATACACTTTTCAATGCTTTAGGGACTAACGATGGAATGAGATCTAAAGTTTCCTTTTAATAACCCGGTTAGATAATCTTTGCAAAATAAACCAGAATATCGTTCTCTCCTTCGGCTGTAGTCATAGAAGGCTTTTCAATATCTATACTTAAAAGATCTGGAAAAATATTAGATTAATGACCTTATCTAAAATGATTTATAAAAAATTTGTATAAATCTTGAGTTTCTTTAATTTCTTTTCTCGAATAAACAATAAAAATTCACCGATTTAACAAGATATAGTTTCGAGTAATAATTTTGGATTAGAATTTGTAAATGCTGCAATTAATAGATGATAGCTTAGATTTTGATATTTTCAAAGTTTCTTTAACTAATCACTCTGATAGCATGATGAATAACATTTTTGTCCAATTTAGAAAGTATTCAACAAATCTTTGGATAGGTTTTATAATGACTGTGGTCCTCTTTTACCACTGATTATAAGATGGTCCGTTTTCATCAGAAGGATGACATGCATGCCATTAAAAATAGGTTCTTTAATAAATTTTAAAAAAAATTTGGGGCCAAATTTCAGCTTACCAGTTTTAGATAACTTTTCAAGTTAGTAATTAATGATGAATGTACAGCTTTTATGAAGTAAAATACATAAATATATTAATTCAATGTTACCCTAATTTTTTGCAATAATCCAAATATCCAATCAATATTTCGTGATACACTGCCGTTCGAAAACTGCTGGGTCTAAAGAAGTAGACACTGTCCAGGTAGGAGATGTAAATGCGTCTAATAATAAGTATAATTATTTTTAATAAAAGTAGCATGGAAAATTTTATCGCTAATTTTTAAAATTATATAACTAATTTTAGATTATTTAACCCTTCAATACTCCGGTGAAAAAAATGACGTTAGTACTCGGGTGGGGTTTAATAGACCCCAATTTCAAATGTATATATCTCCAGTAATATTCATTATTTTCATTTGATATTTAAATATAAGATAGATCTAACCTTAAGCTTGATAAAATATTTAAATATTTTTATTTCTTAAGCCTAGATTAAAGATGATGATAATTATAATTTTTGCCAAAAATTTTTTAAAAAAGTTTACTTTTTTAAAATTTCAAATATAAAATTAAAAAAAATAACTTATCCATCATATAATCATGATAATTCATAATATGGATCTTTATTCTTCAATATAAAAAAAAATTACACTAATACATGCAAATATAAAAAAAATATAGAACATACAAATTTACTCTGGTGGGGTCTCACAAACCCCAATCAGTCACAAAATGCTTATATCTTAAAAACTACTCAACCGAAATATATGAAATTTAGAATATAGATTCTAAGATATATTTGATGAAGCTACTGAAGAATCAGATCATAATATTTAACCGTTTTTATGTAATATCATTTCTAGCATGCCTGGGGTTTCATATACCCCACTAGAGTATTGAAGGGTTAAATAACATAGGCCTATTATAAAATGTCTTATTATAAATTAATTTACTTTCCTTCATTTCCTTACTGTTTCATATAAAATGGTAATTTTATAAAACCTAGTGTTAGGAGCTGGTGCGTCCGACCCATACTCTTGAACGTGCATACCGAAAAAGCAAATGTCGACTCCATCTATCTCCTCAAATGCGAACAAGGCTTTTGATTTATAGGGGAAGCTGCTGGGGAATCTCCCAGTATCTGAATATCTTTTAATTAGAATGGATCATGTAATACAAGATAGTTAGTTTCGTTAGTATTTTCTAAAAGTATTTATGATCAGAGTTTAATACTTAGTTCCAGTTTCGAATGTTTTTTAAAAGGTTGTTCTGGTTTTTAGCATTTTTAAAAGTGGGTTGTGATTCTGGTTCTTATAATCGACCAGTTCCGATTAGAGGTCTGCAATAGACGGGTTAAAAATCAATATGGGACACTGGTAGGCGGTTAAAAATTATTTTTAAGGGCAAGTGAGAGGCTATGTAAATTTAAAATAATTTATGGACAGAAAGGGCTATATTTATTTTGGATTTTTTTTTATTTCATAATATTCCATATTCTATAAGTTTAATTTTTAGATGAAGGCAAATTTTAAAAAAAACCCGGGTGGGCGCAGGTTTTTGGGTTAAAATCCACCCATTACAGACCTCTCGTTTCTACGTTTCTGGTCTATGAAAGTTATAAATATATTCAAAATATTTAAATAGTAAATAAATTCTCTAAAATTCTAAACTATATTATATTTAAATTAATTGCAATTTTTTAAAACCGATTCCAGAACTGGTTCTTGAAAATTTTAAAATGGGTTCTGGTGCTTATAAATTTTAAAAGAGGGTTCCAGGTTCCGATTTCGGTTAAGGTTGTAAATTGATTTTAAAAAGCGTTCAAGTATTATCTTATAACATTTAAATTATAATTATCATTCATTATTTTTTTAAAAGAAAAATATTATATCCATATAATTTACTTTTCTTATTTATAAAATTATTAATAATGATTGACTACTAACCGTTCCCTCATAAGGGATTTGACTTCTGTCACCTTCTCCGAACTCGACAAAACACGAATGGTGACCTCCCCAGCACCTGGGGCTTCCTTCTTCTTGAGGAAAGTGTTGACTCTGTTTTCTAGGTAGGTGCCCAGGCGAGATTTCGGTAAGCCTTGTCAGTTATAAGATTGTTATCAAAGAAAATCAATTTAAAAATTATTAGTGGACGTTTACAAAGAAGCAATTTTGAGAGTTAAACAAATGGTTGCTATATATACAATTTAAAGAAGAATCTCAGTGGATACAACAGAAATTTTATTTGCTATGTTTTGATTAAATATAGAAATAATGCGAAGATTAAATTTTGCATGCTAGCATAATAAATTGAGAAATTGGTAAATTTTAAATAATAAATTAAATTCTCACGTTTGGAGATAAATTTGTGTTCTTTCCTCCGGGATGATTTTAATTTGTGACAGGTGTCGCAAGTGAACCTAGTGTAATATTTAATATATCGTTATATGCAATTAAATCATGAAATCGATTTATGAAAAATAAAAATACTTTATAAAATTCATCACAAAAAATTTTCTAACTCACCCATTTGACCAAATTTGTTCCATGAAAACGGCACAAATTTGATGAATCAATCTTCCACATTCTGCACATTCGATCATCCTATAATGGCAAATGGAAGAAAAAAAGTGTATAGTTTTTATCGCCTTTCAAGGCATACATAGTTAGTCACTTGAATATCGATGAAATGAATGGCTGTCTCTCAATTAAAATTTTAGCCAATACCATGCCAACCCACTAATGAAATGATCCCTTAATGTTGTTATATTTCCCCTTTCAATGGTAGTAAAACATTTTTAGGAATGCTAGTCAAGTTACCCTATGATTCAAGCGACGTAATATTTTTTAAAAAAAGGATACATACTGTTCAGTTTCCAGCTTATCGTTCTTTTCTTTAACAAACTCTTCTTTCTTGATAGTGCTATAAAATACGAAATATAGTATGTAAGAGTGTGATATAGGAAATATAAAATTTAACGCCAAAATGAATATATAGATGAATAAATACGTTTGAGGTTGAGTGGGGTCGTCACCCAGGGTTACGGTGTCTCCTTGAATTTCAGAGAAGCATTTTTCGCAATAAACGTACCTAGTATCAAGAAAGATAAGGTATTTGGATATAATTGGTATTTTAGCATGTATTCAATATATCCCTTCCTTACACTTATCACTTTATTGGTCGATATTTGAAATTGAAATAAAAATTAATTTACTTGTTTTTGTAGCTCATGTAGGCCATGTCCCTAGCTATAGTGCACAACTTATTGCCATAACAGCAGAGCACTTGGGGTTGAAATACGAATTTGTGGCCACAACAAAAACCGAGCAATTTCATGATAGGGTCAATGTCAGCTTCAAAGACTTCTTGTAGCTATTAAAATTATTTTAACAAAAATATATTCAATTAGGCAGGAGTAAACATAAGGATTGGTTTCAGTTATAACACCTTGAGAGTAAGGATCATAAAGAATTTATAAATTATACTGAAAAATTGCTTAAATATGTTTACCCTGGTACAATATTTGTAAACGCGGGACGTTTTACGGTTGTAAAGGTAGGCGTTGTTAAACATGAGGTAAATATCTTCGATGTATTGCCAGGGGTCCCGGTATTGGCCTGTATCAAGCTTCTTCTTGATGGTGGACAAGTCCATGGGCGTTTTTATGATTTGAAAATAATCCTATTTTTGCAGAGGGGATATCGATAAAAAAAAGATATTATTAAGACCTGAGAGTATAATGTTATTATGACCCTAATATTAAACTGATAATCAGGGATTCAGTCATGATATTCGTAGAATATTACCATGAAATTCAAAATAACCTCAATATAAAATCCTAATATCGTATGAAAGAGAATGTCACACCGAGAATAATGAAATTGAATGACAACTTTAAGACTTGTAATGGTAAATAATTGGCAAGCAAAATGCTTACCATACAAGTTCCTTGCTTCCTCGAAAAAAATTTCGGGTTCTAATTATCTTAGAAACTTTAATAGCTGCTTAAAACGAGTTGCGACTTAACCTTTATTTTTATATATCATTTTTAAAAATAATTAACTAACTGGTATTTGGAGCATGGTGGGATCAACTGGTTGACGGAAAGGGATAGATTCAGGATCTTGTCTATATAATTTTTCGAGAGTTGGCATCAATGATTGTCGTAATTCTTCTGGTGGAAAGACTGGTAATTAAGATAAAAATTATATATAATTTTTTTGAAGTAATTCATAGTGATCAGTTTAAAATTTTGTGCCAATTACCGGATCCTAAAATTATTCAATGAACCAGATTTCAGATCGGGCACATCTCTAACATTTTAAGGGATTTTATATTAAATAACAAGGAATCATTTACATTATGCAAATGGAAAAATTATTGCGATAGGGTAAATATTGTCATAAAAAAATTTTACTTTTTCGATTGCAAGGCTGTTTAAGTGTTGTTGCACTGGAGACATTGGGGGTAATCTGAGATTTGACAGACCTACCCCCTAAGGAGGCTGGTGTTAGGACCGATGAAGGGATGGGGGTGAGGATTGAGGCAGACGTCTGCTTAGACATTAGTGGCGAAGCGGGCTCGACAGTGGTGTCTGCCACTGATATTATATTTGAGTTATCAATCAATGGTGCCTCAAATGAAGATGGGGCAATCGGAGCGTGGGGCAAGGGAGTTGTGGCGACTCCTGCTGCTACACTTTCAATAACCTTGCCCACCTTGTCATCTTCGTCATTATCATCTTGGTCGTCGCGGTTGATCTCCTCCTTGACCTCATCAAAACATCGGTCGAGTCTTTTGTCCTTGCGAGCAGCATAACTCGCAGGGGTGGAGCCAGGTGGTAGTGGTTGAGGCGTTCGAAAGAAGCTGCCATTGAGCATAGCCGAAAGCTTAGGACTCTTGCAGCAAGCGGGAGGCAAGAGGGGGAGTGGTTGAGGGTTTTCTGATTTAATGGATGAGACTAAGGAGCCTGGCTGACGGGAGAACATTGAGTCCGTTTCCGAAGGCTTTAATATAATTTATTAAAAATTTGTCAGAATGCTATATTTGCATGAAAAGTTTAATTGAGAATTTGAGACCTATTTTTATAATTCAAAAAAAGCAAGTCATATATTTACTTATAATTACCTCTTTGATTTCGGTCTTTATTTGGAAAAAGGGTGGATTTGTTGAGGTGAACAGGGAGTTAGTAGAGGACTGGTTGGATTGAAAAAAGCTTTTATTTTCCATCTTGATTTCAGTCCCATAACCAGAAAGGGACGAGTTGTCTTTAATTTGTGAATTCGAATACAAATTGAGGGGCGGGTTGTTAAAGTAGAGAGAAGTAGTGTGATGGTGTGACATGGACAGATGGTGTTGCAATAGGGACATAGAGGGACTAGTCTGTTGGAGAAATTTGAGTAAACAAATTAAAACGTTTATGTATTATTGAATTTGATTGTGGGTCTAAATGAATCTCTGGTAGAATTTGTATAAGAATTAATTCAGTTGACAACTTTTGATAATCCTAAATGCCTAACAAATTTTGTCCAATTTCATTTTAAAAAAAATTTTATTAGGCATATTATAAATAAATTATTCCAAACTTTGCCCATGTTGATGTTATTGCCATGTTGTTGCTGCATCATTTCAGGTGGCTGACTACAGCTCATCATGGAATTGTTATTGTGGTATTGACCAGTGGGCAGGGAGGAAAGAGCCGAAGGAAGGCCCTGAAATTGTTTGGGGATGGTTAAGTTGGGGGGAGGTTTCTTACACCTTAATTGAGCAATGAGGTCAGTTGATGAGATTCCTGAGGAGTCGGCTGTAAAATTATATTAAAGAAAAATTTGAATAACAATGGGTGGGGTTGGATAGAGATTCTCATTAAATGGTAAATAAAATACTAATTTATTCTTTTTCTTTCTTATTATTTAATGTGTTTGCTCATAACATTTTGAAATCGTATATATATTACAAGGTAAAGATGGGAGTTTGGATAAGGAGATCTCGTTGTCCTGACCACTGATGTTGTCCTGGAGCATGGAAGTGACATTTAATTGCGAAGGTTTGTTGATAAGATTTTGTTGAAAGCCGGAGACTGTGGAATATTGTTTTTGCAAGCTTTTCTGTTGCATGAGGGATTCCTTGAGTCTTTGCCTCTCGTGCCGCTTTTCTTCTAATTCTTTCTGGATCTTGTAGATCTTTTCTGCCAGCAAATGATAATACTCTTCCTGCAAGATAAGAAAAAAAATGCAATTGTTTTTTAATTATTAATAGTTTATTTATAACCATTAATATTTTTGGCAAAGGTTTTGGCTCTTTTGATTCAATTATAGTTCACCTCTCTCATACTACCAAAATAAAAATGTAAATAAATTTAGTAATTTTTTTTTATTTACCAAAAGATATACTTTTAAATTATTAAGCATTAAAAATGGCATATATATTGTTCCACTAATGAAAATGAAAAAAATAGGTTTGGCATACTTAGCTAAAAAATATATATTTTTTTAAAACACCTACCCTCATGTTAGACCAAAAATAACACTCATCTAAAATAATGTTTTCAGAATAAAATATTCTCTGAAGTAGCGGAAGGAAGAATATCTATCATACATGCACTGGCATCTCTTCAAAATATTTCCTGAGTAACATGAAAATTATAAGGTAATATAAATTTAAATATCGTTAAAGAAATGTCAAAAACCGTAAAGAGAAAAGAGGAAATGATCATAAAATCAAATCGACATTTTTTATTTATAGGTATAGAATTAATTAATATATATGCGAAATCTCTTTTTACATTAAAAAAATTTTAACAATATTTATCATTATATAACTTTAAGGCCTAACGATTAAGCTATATTAAGAAATTTAAATGATATCAAAAGATATTTAAGGGGGTGCATTTTAACCAAAATGTCCCATCTTGAAGTTGTAGGCTAAATTTGATTTTTTCTTAGTTATAATATAATCTAACTCTCGTTAAAATTTGAAGGGGTCAATAGTCATGAATTCACCATATATATTTACGTGTTCCATAGGTAGTGTATATAGGTCTGCAATGCCCGGGACAGGCAGGGTAACATCTGAAAAAAATTAGTTTGAGTCAGGCTGGCAAAAAAATTATTGGGTTAAATTATTGATGAATTCTGATATTCGATAGAAGTGATAATCCATAAAGGCATATAACTATAATATAAATTAGGGGTGTACCGATTAGTGTTGTTAAAAAGCCGAGTTTTTACGGCTCCGACCTTGAAATCTGAGTCGAAAAATTGGTTTAGGCTCAAACTGGCTCAGAAGTTAGTCTGAGTCTAATTTTGAGCCAAAATTTATTTATTTAAATATTTTAAAAGAATATAATAAATATTTTTTATGTTTTTAAATTTTTTTTTAAACATAATAATTTATATTATATTATATTATGAAAATAGATTTATGTATTTGATGTTTTTTTAAACATAATAATTTATAATATTATATTATATTATGAAAATAGATTTATGTATTTGATGTTTTTTTAATAAAAAAAATGATATGCTGCTATTGTAATATTATTTTTGTTACAATTTATTAGAAATTTCATGCCCAAAATTTTAAGCAAAAATATCTTTGATTTTTGAACATTTAGAATTTTAAATTTTCTTTGTATTTGAAGAAATTTTTTGAGAATTTTATTATAAATAAACAATCTTTTAGATGAAATCTTTTATAGTTTTTTTTTATCATCTTTGTAAAATTATATATATTTTTACATATTAAAAAGAATTAGTTTTTTCTAAATAACTTTTTTAAAATTATTTATATCAAACTTTTTTATGTTATTTTTTATGATCTTTTTAAGGAAAATATTTTAATGGACAATTGTCATATTCGTTATTTTTAGACATTTTTGAAACTTTTTGACATAAAAGGGTAAAATAATATTTATATTGATGTTAAATTATAAATTCAATGAAGATGTTCCTTGGAAATTTGGCAAATATCATGATCGATATTATAAACATATTCGATTTTTTTTGACTAATGGACAAAAATTATGTATTTTTAACATGTTAAATTAAAATTTCAATTAAGATGTAACATATATAAGTGACAATTGTCATAATCGCAATTTTTAAATTTTTTTTGATGTAAATGGGCTAAAATAAGTATTACTAACATGTTTAAATAAAACTTCAGTGAAGATGTACTCTAGATAAGTGACAATTGTCATAATCGTTATTCTTGAAGTTTATTGACGGAAATGGGTATAAATATAGTTTGTATACATGTAAAATTAATATTTCATGAAGATGTACTATAGATAAGTGACAATTGTCATAATCTTATTTTTAAAGATTTTTGAATTTTTAAACGCAAATGGGTATATTGTAAACTTATTAATTAAAAATTTTATGAAGATGTAGCATATAAAAGTGACAATTATCATTTTTAAAGTTTATGTGAATTTTTTTGATATTAAATGAAAATTTCATGAAAATTGTCAATCGTAATTTTAAGATTTTTGAATTTATTTGACGCAAATGGGCAAATATATAGATTGCGTACATGTTAAAATAAAACTTAAAAGTTTTTTGACTTATTTGACCCAAATGGGTTAAAATATATCGTAAAAATGTCAAATTTAAATTTCATGAAGATGTAAGAAAGTGATAATAAACAAACTATATTTACACCCATTAGCGTCAAAAAATATAATAAACTTCAAAAATAACCATTATGATAAATGTCACTTTCCTACATCTTCATGAAATTTAAATTTGACATTCTTACAATATATTTTAATCCATTTGGGTGAAAAAAAATCAAAAAACTATAAAAATAACGATTATGACAATTGCTATTTATGTATACATCTTCACTGATGTTTTATTTTAACATGTACGCAATCTATATTTTTACCCATTTGCATCAAAAAAATTCAAAAAACTTAAAATAACGATTATGACAATCGTCACTTTTCCATGGTACATCTTCATGAAATTTTAATTTAACATGTTTACAATATATATTTTTACACATTTGCGTTAAAAAAATTCAAAAAACTTTAAAAATAACTAGGGATGTACCGATATTTTATATCGGATCGGATCGGGCCGATATTTCGCTCATTTTAAAATATCGGTTATCGGCAAATATTATAAAATTTTCCGATCCGATATAAAATGGCGCTTTTAACAAAATTTAAAAAAAATTATATCTAAAAAACCATTTATTTATATAAATAAAATCGAAATACATTTATGTTTAATTTTTTTAATAGAAATAATTAGTTAATATAGTTATTTTTTTTCGCATTCTGTTTAAAAAAGTGTTCATTAATCTCTTCAGTATCTGTTTTTAGTGATGCTAGTGATATTAACAGTCCCCATCACCGCCGACATATCTCTGATATAAAAAGAAATCTTCGATATATTAATTTTAAATATTATATATTTTTTTATTACTAATTATGTAAATAGATTAATGTTATTACTTATTATATAAATAATAGCAATTGAATTGAATATAAACTATAACTGACCATTATAATATATTTAAATGACATATGTTATGTTATAGTAAAATTATAGATGTTGTACTAATAAAAAGTATATTAAAAATTAAAACCGGTATCTTTGCAGAATACAAAATTAGATATGATATCGGATCGGTTATCGGCCGATATCAATTTAATATCTGAAATATCGGATCGGATCGGCCTCCAAAAAGTGGTATCGGTACACCCCTAAAAATAACGATTATGACAATTGTCACTTATCTATAGTACATCTTGACTGAATCTTAATTTAACATGTTTACAACCTATATTTATACCCATTTGCGTCAAAAAAATTGTATAAACTATAAAAATAACGATTATGACAATTGTCACTTATCTAGGATACATCTTCACTGAAGTTTTATTTAAACATTTTAGCAATACTTATTTTAACCCATTTACATCAAAAAAAATTTAAAATTTTAAAAACAACGATTATGACAATTGTCACATTAAAATATTTTCATTAAAAAGATTATATAAAATAACATAAAAAAGATAATTTTAAAAAAAATATTTATAAAAACCACATCTTTTAATATACTAAAAAAATAGATAATTTTACAAAGATGATAAAAAAAAACTATAAGAGATTTAGCTAAAAGATTGTTTATTTATAATAAAATTCTCAAAAGAATTCCTCAAAAATGATTTATTTACAAAGAAGATTTAAAATTCTTATCAAATCAAAATATGTTCAACAAAATGTATATAAATATTTTAAGGTAAAATCTTTGTTGATATTGAAGATAGAAATATCAATAACAAATCAAATGATTGAAAGATAGTGGTTCCTAAAATAACATTTAAAAGTCCGGGACAGGTAGGCTCTGAGTATATAAAGCACGGACTATGTCTAAATATTTTTAAAAAAATCCTTGCCAGGCCTAATTTTTTTTTTTGAAAAAAGCCTGTACTAAATTTTTCTATTTTAAAAATTTGGGCCATGCAAATTACCTCTGCAGCTATCTGATATTAATATTTTAAAAAAACCACATTAAATTCATAAACAATACTTAATATTAATAAAAACCATCTTTAAAAATGTTTAATAAAAAATAAAGAAATAAAATGTTGAGTTAATGAAAGATTATTTATCAAAATATCTTTAGCTTAAAAGAAAAAAATGATTTATATTTTAATTTATATACCTATAAAATAAAATAACATGTACAAATAAATTTAAAAACAAAAAAATAAAATATTATTATAAAATATATATGAGGATATAAATAATAATTTATTTACAAATTCTAAATTTGTGTTTTTTTCCATTATTAACATGGGTATATTAAGCATAAATAATATAAAATAATAATTTAAAAAATTACATTAAACAAATTTAATAAATAAAAAATATAAAAAATGAATCAATCCTTTTTTTATGTAATTTTTTTAAAGATATTTTAAAATAGCTGGTTCCGATTATTTAATATCCATAGTCTTTTTTTTTAAATGAATATTTTTAAAGTAGGTGTTATACTCAAAATGATTAAGCAACTTGTGAATGAATTTTGTCTAAATCAGAGACCTGCAGGCCTGGCCTAGGTACCAGGCCTGGGCCGTATTTAATTTTTAAAATATCTTGAAATTTTTTTTTAAAAAAACCCTGCCAGGCCTAAAAATTTTTTTTTAAATACCCGGTCCAGGCCAAAAAATTTTTAAAAAAAATCCGGGCCAGGCCGTTCACATGGTACTGGTACCTCTGCAGGTCTCTGGTCCAAATAACCAATTATTATTGGCAGGAATACAATAGACTGCAATTTCATAATGCAGGTAGAAAAAAACAATAGTATGATACCAATGCAATGTGTGTCGTAGATCTTAATTATGGATCTTCCTTTTGGGAGCCTCAGTCAATTTTTGACTCAAAAACAAGCTGAATTTAGGGCTAAGCCGGCTTAGCTCAGACGTTTAACAACATTAACAACATAACAAATAAATGGTTCAAAAGTAGGCTTGAGCCAAGTCATGAGCCTACTCGAGCCAGCCGACTAATTTGCTCAAAGAGCCGGCTTGAGTCAATTTTCGACTCAAAAACTAGATGAGTTTGGGGCTAAGCCAGCTTGGCCGTTTAACAACACTAATCTCAAATAAATAAATTTTGGCTTAAAAGACGGCTTGAGGCAACTCCTTAGCTGGCTTGAGCCGACTCAAACCAGCCGACTAAAATGGCTCAATGAGCCGGCTTGAACCTAAGTCAATTTTCGACTCAAAAACTGGTTGAGTTTAGGGCTAAGCTGGCTTGGCTCAGCTGTTTAGCAACACTAACACTAATCTCAAATAGATAAATTTAGCCCCAATAATCGGCTTGAGTGAGCCAACGGCTTAACCAGCCAACTCAATAATCCGGCTTGAGCATGAACCTATTTGGCTCAAAAACTGGCTGAGTTTTTGACAAAACTGGCTTGGCTCAGCCGTTTAACAACATTAGTACCTATATCACTTTTTGGAGGCCGATCCGATCTGATATTCCCGATATTAAATTGATATTGGCTAATTACCGATCCAATATCATATTAGTTTTGTATTCTGTAAAGATGCCAATAGTTTTAATTTTTAATACACTTTTTATTAGTATAAAATCTATAATTTAACTATACCATAACTTATGTTATTTAAATATATTATAATGATCAGTTATATTTTATACTCAATTTAATTGCAATTCTAAAAATATATAAAATATTTTTATTGTTAAATCACTTTTATATAACATTAATCTAAATACATAATAAGTAATAAACAAATATATTATGAAATTTCAAATAAATATTTAAAATAATATTAACATTAATATATCTAAGATTTTTTTTTAGAAATACCGAAATTTCAAATTAATCAGAGGTCAGCCTGTGGCGATGGTACTGTCAATATCACCAGCTTCATTAAAAACAGATTCTGAAGAGATTATCGCACACTTTTATAAACTGAATGCACAAAAAATTAACAATATGGCAGAATGTTTATTAATTAATTATTTACTAAAAAATATAGATAAAAATGGATTTCGATTTTATTTATAAAAATACATGATTTCAAATATTTTTTAAAAATTTATTTTTGTTAAAGACTCCATTTTGTTATTGGATTGGATTGGAAAATTTTATAATATTGGCCAATAACCGATATTTTAAAATGGGTGAAATATCGGCCAGATCCAATCCTATATAAAATATCGGTACATACCTAATATAACAGTAAATCTATTAAAGATTTGTCAGAATTTCCAAACTCTATTAATATTTATACTCAATAAGCTTTATATCAAAAATATCATTTTGTTGAAGCGTTAATCTTCTGAACATGACATCGGCATTTTTTGGTTTGGGTGTGGTCCAAATCCTAAAACTGTAGCTATGCCACTGTGTACTCGTTTCATTTTTTTCATCTATACCATGACAGATCCAAACTTTTATTTATCTACACAGCTAATCTTATTTTAAAAAATTATTTACTCTCTTATATGTAAAATGTACATTTAATTTAAGATTTTTCCATCATAATTTCTAAAAAAACAATAAGATAAATATACATTTAAAAATTAAAATTCTCAAATTTATATAAAACATTCTTTTATTTATGTTGTATTTTAAATAAGAAAGTGGGTAAAAACCTACTGGACCTATATAAGGAGATGTAGGCCCAGCCCATTATCACTGGTACATTTCTAATATTTATTATAAAGGCAAACCAATAATCCATTTTTTAATAATATAACCATCATAAAAAAGAACAATTTTCTTTAAAAAATAAATAATTGTCTTACCTTATAATTAAACTAAAGTTAGTGGAAATAACAAGTAAAATGTCAGGTTAAAATTTTCATTTTATGATACAACTTCATGACCTAATAAATCTCTAATATAACAGATCTTATAGAATATAAAATTTACCCTGCTTGTGGCACTTTCAAACATGTCTCCTTCCACTTTTTTAGCATAAGCAACTAGGTGTTGCATCCTTCTATCCTGTAGGGATGTAGGGTCTGGGGTGGGAAATATGGCTTGCACACTTAAATATATTTTCATAAACAAATTAAATATATAGGCTTTGAATAATTTAATATAACAAAAGCATGCATTTCTATCTGTACTCTGTACACAAAATATTGAAACTTACCAATAAAAACTCTGAAATCATTTTATTTTTACTCTCTTTTTCAGTCTTAATATCAAGAGGTCAATAATGTGAACTCACAGCTTAAGAACAAGATGACGCCTCAAATCTTCTGTGACTAGAGAATGCCAAGGCTGGATGCCCTTGACAGATTGAACGGAGGTAGTGAGGGCAAAATTGGAGCCTGAGCCAGTGGATGGTAGGGAGAGACGTGATCCAGGGTTCAGCAAGGTGACTGCCGATCCAGCGTCTTGCTGGTTAAAAGTCATTCCCGACCCTGATATGTTGAACGTCGAATGGGCCAACTGTAAAATAAAATATTTGTAGTAGTGATCTGCATAGGGCCTTTTTTCAAGCCAGGCCCGAACCCAATATTTTTTAAAAAGTTTTGCCGGCCAGGCCCAAACCCAAAATTTATTTTAAATACCGGCCCGGCCAGGCCCGAATTTATTTAAATATAGAAATTAATTTTTATAATTACTTAAAATAAAAGACATATGTTATATAGCGTTTAGTTTCAATAAATTATTGATAAATTTAGAGATATTTCATAAAATTTCCAAGGTTCGACCCAACCCGGCCCAAAATTTTTTTTAAAATATTAGGACTCGGGCCGGGCCTAACTTTGCAGATCTCTAATTTGTAGGTGTCATGATATTAGCTTAACTTTGACATTTCAATGCCTGAGCATATCAAAATAAACCAAACACCAGAAATGGATTGATACCAATACAATTATATAAATTTATTATAAATGATAAATAAAACATCATAATATAAATTAGGTTTGTGCCGATATTAAATATCGATTAAATATCGGATCGGCACCGATATTTAGCGTTTTATAAAAAATATGGAATCGGGTCGATACCTGTAAAAAAACCCGATCCGATCTTTTTACTTTACTTTTTTTGTTATTTTATGTATATTTATTTTACAGTAATAATATTTTCTAAATAATTTTTTCCAAACAATGTAAATGCACAACACCCCTTAAATTTTATTTATTTTTTTAAATAGATTTATAGTATTTTAAAAGTTTTTTTTATAAAAATAGAAAGGAACACCCAAAGTTTTATTTATTTTAAATCTTTTTAAATAACGCCAATTTTATTATTTCTACTTTAAATAAAAAAAATTTTTTAAATATAGTATCTGAATTATGGAAATCTTTTACTAAAGACAAAGATAATTTTGCAAAATGTGTTATCTGCTGAATTCTAATTTCACAGGGAGGAATAATGAAAATTCATTTAATACTACCAATATCTGTAAACTTTTTTAATTATTGTAGAAATAAAAAATTAAATTAAATGTATAATTAGATTTTTTGCATATAAAATAATGATTTCTTATTAACATTCGGTTCAAAGGAAGGTGGTGAAAAATTAATAAATATCGGATCTGTATCGGATCGGTTTTGAACCTATATCGGAAATATCGGATTGGTGAAAAATATGTGGATTGGCACAACCCTAATATTAATGAATTATAACCTTTTTTTAATAACTAAACAATATTATTTTTTATGCATTTCTGCACAATACTTGGAAAAGATTGAAACTTAAATAGCAGAAAACATTAGATTTAAATTCTAAACAAATATGAACTGTGATTTTTAATATATTAATATCTGAATGTTATTAGTATTTTTTTAAATAAACATTTTTTTTAGAAATGTAAGATCAGTTAGAAATTATAGTTTAAAAGTTTTATATTCAGAATATTAATTTGTTATTTATTATATTTTTTATTCACATCAAAATTTGAAATATAAAATAAAACTAATCACACAATTTTGTTCTGAAATTTTATGAAAAATCTATATAAATCAAAAATCTGCAGGTTCAACCAAGTCCAGAAAATGGGACAATTAAAAATAATATGCAAACCTGCAGGACCTAAGAAAAATTTTTACAACCTGAGCCCCTGGCCAAATATTTTAAAGTATATATTAAAATCATATTATTAGCTAGTTAGAAGATCATGTATTATTCTGTATAATAATATTCATTTGTTACTAATTTCTCTTTAAACTAGAAATCAAATATTGGCATAAAATGAGTAAAATTTTAAAAATAAACCCAGACCAGGCTAAAAATAATATAATAGAGATCAGGTATAGAAATGAAAAAATTCAAAACCAAGCCAGGTCTAATTTGATCTCTGCAGTTTTTTTATACAAATTAATAATAGTTCAAATGTTCATGGTAAAACTGTCAAAATTATATTAGGTATACATGCTGGAATATATTTCCAGTAAAATTAGATTTTTTAAGTTTAAAATTCATCATCCACATAAAAGTGATTAATTTTATTATCAAAAATGCTTTTAATTTATCAAAATGTTTAAAAAAGGCATTCTAAAAAATCAAATAATTGGCATTATTAGAATCAGATGTCATTTAAAAAAATATTTAGGTATTAACTTTATAAATTAAATAATATATTAATATAAACAATATTTAGGCATGTATATTACATGAGGATTTTGCATAAGGTTGCTCGATTGCATGGCTGTTTGTGTATGAAGGGTAATGGGTCCTTGAGAATTATGTGGGTAAGGTGGAGGTGGCATACCTCGGTTCAGAGAGTTGTTCATGATATTACTCATATTATTGCTGCTGAATAACGTTTTGTTGGCATTCAGAGGGATCATATTGGTGATGCCCAGCTGAGAGAAATTAGAGGTCTGAATGATGGAAGGGATGAATTGTAAATCCTGTGAGCTGTTGATCTGCCCTGAATTGGGGATCAGGTTTGAGGTTTGGTTTAGTATTTGAGATGTCGCTATAAAAAATGAAAATAATTTAGGAATAATTGACAGCCACCATAAATACAATAAGTGATCAAAATATTAGGGAGGGGAGTGTTTGTATAAATTATAGGCATTTGTATTAAGAATAAAAAAAATATTTACCATTCAGTGTTTGAGTAGAGGGTCTTTTCAAGGGAAGACACACAGTGCAGTCTAATCTTGTACAATTTTTCCAGTGTTGTATTATCTGTCGCGAGGAGGCACAATGAGGAACTAAGATAATGTAAGTTTAATTAATGTGTTATTAATAATAGTGAATAAAGATCATCTTCTTGAAAATAACATAAAATCTGTAGATAATTTTAAGTTAAAATGCTTAACTGCATATAACAAAATGTCTTGATTATTATTTAAGAGAATTATATATCATAAATTTATACCTGTGCAAGTTTTTCCAGCAGTACAGGTCATCATATGATTTAATACATTTTTCATGGTTTTGCAGTGTGGGAGTGTACATGCTGGTTTTATCTCCCCATTTGGTGCAAACTGTTCTCTTTTTTGACATTTGTGTGCATGTAGCAGCAAAACAAGTTGTTGCTGAATCAATTTTCTTTTCTCAGGATCTGCAACATGCTGAGTAGATGGTGCAGACGAAACCATAGATGTCATTATATTTTTGCCCTGATTCAATGTAAGATTGCTTTGCACCATATGCTGCATAATCTTTTATTTGATATAAATATTTTTATGTAAAATAAGTTACTTTTTGTGTTTGCTGTAGTTGAAGTGATATTGGAGAGGTGTTAACAATTTGTATATTTGGAGGAACTTGTTGATATATTGCACTACTAGGTATCATAGATGTGAGTGCAAATGAACTCTATAAATTTAAATTAGTCAAATTTATATAAAAATGAATTTAAAAATAGGTACAGCACATGTAAATTTATGCAAATTCTCTTAAACCTTTATATTAATCCCAGACACATCATTTGTGGATTGATTATTCTGTAAATTTTGATCAACATTTAACATTGTGTAAGGATTATTTTGGCAATTTGATATTAATTGATTTTGGTTCATATTATTATTAATGTTGTTAACCATATTACTATTCATTCTATTAATTGTAGAAAAATTCTTTTTTGGTGCAGCTGGAAAGAAGGAATTATGTAAAGATGCATGCAAAGGACTTTTGTGAGAATTAACATTAGGACGACTATAAGGATTTGGAACAGCGTGAGGATCTGGTATTGAAGTTAAAGGAGGGCTATGGAAAGATGAAGCTGATGGAGATTGGTTTAAAAGTTGTGCTAATTGAGGATTTTTTTGTGCATCTGATTCAATATTAGCATTTGGCCCATTAGCAATTTTAAGACTATTCCCTCCATAACTTGATGTAGAAATAGATGAATTCATCAATTCATCTGGCAAATCATTCTCTAAATGGTTCAGAATATTCCAATCTAATATATAAAATATAAATAAAATATTGGCAAAAATAAATTTCTAACCAAGATTTTCATATGGGGACGAAACTCTTCTCCGTTTATTAGCAAGAGTATCCATTTCCATTGTAAAACTGATATGGGACACTTTTTGAATATCAAGTGTGCAGTATTTTCCCCTATGGTAGAATTTTTTTCATTTTAAGGAGGATTTTTAATCATTGGAAAAATACTTTTATCTATGGAGAATTTTTGAGATTTGGAATATGTAACATGAGAATAGCCACGAGTCGTTTGAATTACTAGCACTCATCTTACCATATCATTTTTATAACATTTTTTTCCAAGCAATCAAAATATTTTTAACATGTAAGAACAAAAGAATATCGAATATTACTAAGGGAAAATAATTTTAAAAAAAGTTTATATAATCTATATAAATAATTTTAATCTTTTACGAACAAGATGGCGACCATTTCAAATTTTTACTTTTTTTTATTTTACAACTGCGGAAAAATCCGATAGCATACGGGATGATAGAGCGATTCGATATAGGCTATTGGTAAAAAATAAATCACATGATTAGTGTATAAAAATTAAATTATCTCAAATATAATATTTAATTTAAAATCTTTTAGAATTATATTAATTAATCTGAATTTATAAATTAGAATAATAAATGTTTAGGTATAAAGGTATTTTGCAAATATTTAAAAACCTGTAATGAGTATATATAAAATAAATATTTAAAAAAAGAGATGCAATATTAAAATAACCAATTTCATTTATATTATTTGTTTAAAACAGTGTAAAAGCTTGACCTTTATCGATAACATAGAAATATTGATTATTTGTCTGCAATTAGCGATAGTTTAATCTGATAACTTAAAGACTAATATATAATATAAAAATTTTGTAAAATTAATAGAAACAATTTTTACGCCAAAAATATTTTACAAGTAAAATAATTCTCTTCTCAAGAAAGAAAGAAAGAAAGAAAGAAAGAAAGAAAGAAAGAAAGAAAGAAAGAAAGAAAGAAAGAAAGAAAGAAAGAAATCTTTCTTAACTAAGAATACAATGTGGTTTAATTGATGGCTCAGGTCGACTTAGTCAAAAACACAGCAAGGTTTGAGCCAAAAAAAAACGCAACCCATTTAGGTATAGATCAGACCCGATTCAATGGGCCTCATGATCTAATCCGATGGGTCTGCTCGCTGGGACGGATGGATCAGCCTGCTGGGTTAGCCGGCAGGGTCTGCTTGGTTAATGATAGTCACTACCAAGTCAAAGTATGGCAATTTTCTAAATACCATTTAAATTTGCTAAATACCGATCAAAATTTATTAAAATGTAATAAGACTCTTTTTGTTTAACATATATTATAACCAAATCACTTGTTCGAGTCCGGCCTCCTATATATCCTTTCCCCAAGGACGGAACCACCAAGTTAGATTAAGAAAAAAAACATGATCATTGCTGGGATTCTAACCCATAACCATCGGATTGTTAGATGCTTTGGAAAAATTACGATTTTTCAAATATATATTATTAATAAGGTCTGTTTGCTGTGTGGCCCGGATGAGTCGGCCTGCTGGGTCAGCTCGCTGGCTCAACATATATAGATAATTATAGTTTGTTTTAATCCGATTTGTAGTAGAAAGATGTTCTAAAATCTTTGGTTCGAGTAATAATTGGCATTGCCCTTATATTTTATTCCATGAGGGAATAAAGAATTTTTTTTTAAAACTTTGTTTTAAGTCTAGTTAAAAGTTTCTGAAAGTAGAAAAAAGCTTTAAATGCATAGGGTCTAGTAATAAATTGGCACTGCCATTATATTTTACTTAACGAGGAAAAAAATTTGTGATTTTTTAATGCTTTAAACCTAGTTAGAAAAGTTTTTAATATTAGAAAGAAGTCTAAAATTAAGGCATAGTAATAAATTGGCAGTGCCATTATATTTTACTCCAAAAGGAAAAAAAATTATAAAAATTTTTTAAATTTTGCTTTGGACCTAGTTAAAAGTTTTTGTTATGAGAAATCTAGCAATAAATTACCACTAATTAAATGTTAGTTAACAAGAAAAATAAATTATGAAAAATTTTAAAACCATGTGGCTTATTAGAGGTTTTTGACACTGTAAGGATATTCTAAGACCTTTGGGTCTATTAATAAACTGACACTGCCATCAAATTTTACTCCATGAGAAAAAAAAATTATGAAGATTTTTTAAAAATTTGTCTTAAGCCTAGATGTCTAAATGGGTATAATGATAAATAAGCACTTATATTTTAATCCTCGAAGAAAAAAATTATGATAAATTTTAAAAATTTGTTTTAAGCCTATTTAAAAGTTTTTAATACTAAAAAGATGTTCTGACCTTTAGGTATAATGATAAATTGGCACTGCCCTTATATTTTACTCCTCAAAAAAAAAATTATTATGAAAATTTTTAGAAAATTTGTACTAGAGTTTTTAATACTAAAAAGATGTTTTAAAATCTTTAGGGCACAGTAATATAAAAAATTTTTAAAAATTTAGTTTGAGTCTAGTTAAAAGTTCTTGATAATAAAAATTATTCTGAAATCTTTTGGTTTAGTTATAAATTAGCATTGCCATTATATTTTTTTCCACGAAGAAAAAAAAATTATGAAAATTTTATAAAACTTTATTTTAAGCCAGTTAAAATTTTTAATACTATCGATTTTAATTCTAAAATGTTCTCTCCTTAAAATTCTAATTATGTCAACTTTTATTATAATATTAGAAAAATAGAAGTTAAATATTACTTTCTCGAAAGATGTTCTAAACCCTTTGGGCCTAGTAATAATTGGCACTGCCAATTTTATTACACGAGAAAAAAGTTATGAAAATTCTGTAAAACTTTATTAAGTCTAGTTCAAATTTTTTGATATTAAAAATATGTTCTAAGAACTTTGGGTTTAGTAATAAACTGGCACTACTATTATTTTTTATTCCATGAGGCAAAAATAATTATGAAAATTGTTTAAAACATTGTTTTAGGCCTAGTTAAAAGTTTATAATACAAGAAAGAAGTTCTAAAACCAGGGTCTAGTAATACATTGAAATTGCCATTATATTTTACTCCAAGAGGAAAAAAATAATGAAATTTTTTCGATATTAAAAATATGTTCTAAAAACTTTGGGTTTAGTAATAAACTGGCACTACTATTATATTTTATTCCATGAGGCGAAAATAATTATGAAAATTGTTTAAAACTTTGTTTTAGGCCTAGTTAAAAGTTTATAATACAAGAAAGAAGTTCTAAAACCAGGGTCTAGTAATACATTGAAATTGCTGTTATATATCCGAACTTAACTCAGGGTGTTTAATCAGTATTGGAAGAGCAATTAAGAATACAAGGTTTGTTAAATCTTTCTTTTCTTTATTAACTCTTTTCTTTTTTAGGCCATGACTAAAATACGAATTGCTATAAACTACGAATTGCCAGGTAAATTGCGAATTGCCATGTCTAAACTACGAATTGCGTAAATTAATGTTAAATTTAGATAAAATTATGGAAGATTGGATGACTAAACTACGAATTGCCGTATATAATGTTAAATTAAATAGAATAAACTACGAATTGCCGTATTTTATGTTAAATTAAAATGACTAAACTGCGAATTGCCGTATTTAATGTTAAAATAAAATGACTAAACACGAATTGCCGTATCTAATCTTAAAATAAAGTGACTAAACTACGAATTGCCGTATCTAATCTTAAAATAAAGTGACTAAACTACGAATTGCCGTATCTAATCTTAAAATAAAGAGACTAAACTACGAATTGCCGTATTTAATATTAAAATAAAGTGACTAAACTACGAATTGCCGTATTTTATGTTAAATTAAAATGACTAAATTGCGAATTGCCGTATTTAATGTTAATAAAGTGACTAAACTACGAATTGTCGTATTTAATATTATAATAAAGTGACTAAACTACGAATTGCCGTATCTAATGTTAAAATAAAGTGACTAAACTACGAATTGCCGTATCTAATCATAAATTAAAATGACTAAACTGCGAATTGCTGTATTTAATGTTAAAATATAGTGACTAAACTACGAATTGCCGTATCTAATGTTAAAATAAAGTGACTAAACTACGAATTGCCGTATCTAATCATAAATTAAAATGACTAAACTGCGAATTGCTGTATTTAATGTTAAAATATAGTGACTAAACTACCAATTGCCGTATTTTATGTTAAATTAAAATGACTAAACTGCGAATTGCCGTATTTAATGCCAAAATTAAGTAACTAAACTACGAATTGCCGTATTTAATATTATAATAAAGTGACTAAACTACGAATTGCCGTATCTAATCTTAAAATAAAGTGACTAAACTACGAATTGCCGTATCTAATCATAAATTAAAATGACTAAACTGCGAATTGCTGTATTTAATGTTAAAATATAGTGACTAAACTACCATGACTAAACTACGAATTGCCGTATTTAATATTATAATAAAGTGACTAAACTACGAATTGCCGTATCTAATGTTAAAATAAAGTGACTAAACTACGAATTGGCGTATCTAATCATAAATTAAAATGACTAAACTGCGAATTGCTGTATTTAATGTTAAAATATAGTGACTAAACTACCATGACTAAACTACGAATTGCCGTATTATAATAAAGTGACTAAACTACGAATTGCCGTATCTAATGTTAAAATAAAGTGACTAAACTACGAATTGCCGTATCTAATCATAAATTAAAATGACTAAACTGCGAATTGCTGTATTTAATGTTAAAATATAGTGACTAAACTACCAATTGCCGTATTTTATGTTAAATTAAAATGACTAAACTGCGAATTGCCCTATCTAATCTTAAATTAAAATGACTAAACTGCGAATTGCCGTATTTAATATTATAATAAAGTGACTAAACTACGAATTGCCGTATCTAATCTTAAAATAAAGTGACTAAACTACGAATTGCCGTATCTAATCATAAATTAAAATGACTAAACTGCGAATTACTGTATTTAATGTTTAAATAAAGTGACTAAACTACGATTTGCCGTATCTAATCTTAAATAAAGTGACTAAACTACGAATTGCAGTATTTTATGTAAAATTAAAATGACTAAACTGCGAATTGCAGCATCAAATCTTAAATTAAATGACAAACTGCGAATTGCCGTATCGAATGTTAAAATAAAGTGACTAAACTACGAATTGCCGTATTTTATGTAAAATTAAAATGACTAAACTGCGAATTGCCCTATCTAATCTTAAATTAAAATGACTAAACTGCGAATTGCCCTATTTAATGTTAAAATAAAGTGACTAAACTACGAATTGCCGTTTTATTGTTAAAATAAACTACGAATTGCGGTAATTACTGTTAAATTAAAATGACTAAACTACGAATTGCCGTAATGAGTAAAATAATATGAC